CTGTCAACTGCAGTACATGGATGCAAAACAGCATCACTGAGCAGAACCAAAAATCGTGTTCAGACACCTGCCGATATGCCAATATCAATAGGCATATTTATACATAAAAACACTTATCTTAACGGTTTACCAGCAGAATGTCAGTTTACGATACCGCCGGTAACAAAGTAACATTTTCTGTTACTATCGGATTTTCAGTTCAAGGGGACGATGTGTCGATGCCGCATAAATTCGGTAGCAACAGAAAATTTTACTTTCACTCTGTTGGTAAACTTATAAGATCGGTATTAATTTTTATGTATAACAAGCTCATTTCAAACGATTGTACGTTTCAGAATCCGCCTACGTTAGGTCATACATCGGATGCTCAGGCGAAAGGCAAAACCCTGAACTGTTTAATGTTGGTCACCCTTACACTGGAATGACTGCGATCCATTTGTTATAGCCTACTTTTCATGAAGCTCACAGTGCGGCGTCATTCTCTGCTTTGTGTCATTGGTTATGAATGCTTCATTGCTTTCCTCAATAGCTGTTTCTACCGACGGATGACTACCATCACTTGTTATCTGACGCTTACTTTCTACTACAGTATGACAATCCCGGCTACCTGTGGATTTCATTGATGTTCCATTTGCAGCTTTGGATATTTTACACAAATAGAGGGAACATGGTAACAGCGCGATGCCGACAAAATGCAAGGAGCTGAAATTCTTTCGCTGGATATTATCCAATGGAAAATATTAACCAATCATCTAATTTGCCGCATTAAACAACGAAAAACGGTGCCTGTGAAGATACCTTAATCTTCTACCTGTCGAACTACTGTCCGGATTATTAATCCGTTCATACCGGCATGGACTGAAATTAACAGACTTTTCAATGCAGACTGGGTATGTCTGGTTTTCGCCGCATTGCTGCTGAAGAAGTAGTAGTTTAAATCAAAGCCAATGTGCAAACATAAACATACGCGGGACAATGCTGAGGCTTAAAAATAAGAACAGGGTTAGTAATATTCCAGAAAACCCGCAGTAGTACCTACTTGCATTTAGCGACAATTCGTTTACAGTTCATACATTACGGACTAGTTCACACTGGTATGATCAGAATGAGAAAGTAATTCAGTTTATACCGGCACGGATGGATTACCACTCTCGACGGTAACAAACATGGTAACATGGTGGTATTGATCATTCAAGAAAGTTGCCCAACGTGTCAATTATTTTCTTGAGAATAAATAGAGTAGCTAGAAAGTCCGGCTAAAATCTTGGTAGATGCACCATACACTTCACAGCGTACTTAAATAACATTAATCAGGGAAGCGAAATAAATCGCAGTAACGCGTAAAAGTCAAAAGTAAAATATTAAAATAAGCACATTTTTGCGAAAAAATTAGTGCATTTCAGCTAATGCTAATTCTCTATGATGATGACTGCCTATGAACGGTTTGAATGTCACGAACGGGAAATTGATGCGCTATTAAATTCATTCGCACCACTTCGTGCACTTCACCACCACAAACTGGTTCCAGACAAAGATCTGTCTTCATAAATGTAATACGTTAGGCACGGAGTCAAGCCTTACCAACTGATGATCCTGCACCTTTCATTGCCTTATTATGTCGTTTTCTTTTAGGTCAGTGCGTTACGGAGATCTGCTCCAGAGTAGCATTTGACGAGGCTTGTTGGGGGAATTAGAAATATTTCCTTGAAAATAAGTAAGCTTGAAGCCTAAGTAAATGGACTGTGATTGATGAGTGGTCAGTGATTGGCTTGCAAGGTCAGAAAGTGTATGGTTAGAATTCTGAACGAGCAAATCATCTGTCTTAACCGTTAATCTCCTTGAGCCGAAAATTTGACTGCCGATGCAATCAGTCGACAAAGTGGTAGCAAGTCGTTCACGCACGAATTATGGGACTGGAGCAGCATGGTATTCTGGTGTGATAATAACTGAGTGTCGAAAGGCACGGCCATGTTGCCTGAAGCGGTGGACACAATTCGCCTCGGTCCACCTGATAGCTGACTATCCAGTGAGATAATCAAGGAATCGTTTGTTTACTGTACTTCCGTTCGTGATGTTTCAACAAAATCACATATAGATATCAGGTACTATATTCAACCGACGATGGCACGACAATCTTACCCCCAACGCCTGCATCAAAAACGAGGCAAGTTTGATGACCGCTGAGAGGAACTTCTGAGGCGGCGAAAACGGGGCTAGAACAGTCGGCAAAGCAGTGTGGACAACGGAGGTAGTGCTCTCTTCGCTACCCATCATAACGGCGTGGTCACCAATCAGCACTTTTAGGCACATTTGAATGGTTGTCTGTATAAGAAGCGATGACTGCAACACGAAACACAGCAAAATTGACTGAGTCGTTGCCTTACTTTGAGAAAATGCAGATGTGCAACGTATGGAAATATGGTCAGCGTTTTGTGTAAGCCCAACAACCAGTTGCTCAAGGCATCCCAGTTGAAACGACGCTGGAAAAGAACTTATTCTGAATTTGAAATTAAGTTTAAATGTCTGTTTTGTTTGCGTACCCTCATTCCACTTCTGTTCACAATCTTCGCGATCGTTTTGTCCAGTCTTCTCAGAATGTTGCTCAACGCAGACCGATTGCGCTCAGCTGACCAATCTGTAACCGGCAAAATTTCCAGAAAATACCTAAAAACGAAGGCTTTAACTGCTAACTTCATATAATCAAACCATCATTATCAATTTTCCTTCGCCAAATCTCCAATCGATAGATATAGCGGTAGAAACCCAATTTTTGGAAAGCATGACTTAAAGATTATTTTTAAATAATGTTTATTCTAGTCAACCGCTGCAATGTCAATGAACCCTGCCATGAGCTTTCGAACGATTGCTCAGTAGTGCTCTAACAAAGAAAAGAAATCTGAAATAGACTGTGACTTACTTACTTACTTAAATCTATTCTGTTTCGAACTAACGTGGTTTCGAAAATAAAGCAAAAGGGCCAATTCTTCTCCGCAACTGTATTGCACGCCTATTTTGAGGAGTCTGTCTCTGCTGGAATCGATTCAGTCTGCAAACTAATACTCTCCGAAATGAGTAATTAATATATTTATATATTAACGAATCGTTTTTTATGCCTTCATTATTCATTCTTGCTGTTGAGTTTTTTGATTGTTTTGTTCTATGTTTGGCTTCACTGTCCCAATATACTCATTTCGAAGGGTTGGAGACTCCTGAAGTCTCAGTCACTGCTAGTTTCATATGCTATGCTCCCTAATTGAAACAGCAGATTTTCTATTTTGCATTCAGAATGAACTGAGCAACATGATTGGCAACGAATCATGTCATTCGTGAAATATTACTGGTAAAAACCATGCATACTGAACCGTACCATAGCGTTCTTCATCCTTTAAATTGAAATACGAAAACTGTTATTTTACTCAGGTTAAACGTGACTCTCGAAGGCGATAGGTATATCAAAACTAAGACATTCTGCGCTAGATTTACAGAGCAGGCACTTTAGATTTTGGATAAATAGAGGGAAGAAAACGATGATGATAAATGAGTCTCAGTCAGGTATAGTGATATATAGCCAACAACAAAAGTTACAGAGTACGTCTAAATTGGACAGCTAATCGTGTTTGAACAGTACCTTGGTGCAGATCTCACAAGAAGCATTGTGCGGCGTGAAGTATATCCAGGAGGAACGCTTACATTCTTGAAAACGGAAAATATTAGTTGTGAAAAATATATAACTGCGTTCTATAACAGCAGGGTATTGTCGACCGCTCTGATTAGTTACGAAACAAAATGAAGCATTGTTATGAGTGCAGCAGAAGTCTATGGAAAGAATGATGTCAAAACGTTTCATCGAGAATCAGGTGCTAAATGAAAAAATTAGAACATGCTTTCCAATAGAGAACATTTTATCAGTTTTAACAGAAGGAAAATGACCATGAGCAAGTCACATCACACAGCTGACAATTAACAAATGTGCTTAAACGATGACAAATTGGTAGTTTAGGGGCTGCAAGTGCGAAATTGGA